ACTTTTGATTTCAGTCAGAACATTAGCATTAGTTCAGCCTAGGTGAACAAAAATGCTTTTAAAAAGTGTCTTTAATTGACTATATAATCATTTATAAATGGAAAAATAAATGTCTAGAACCCTTGTCAGCTTAGGGTGTATTCACAGGTGAGTATCATGGGAAAGAGACTAGCTGAGGGTAAAAGAGGGAAAGATTTTTCAAGAGATTTGTGTCCTGAAGATGTTTTTTAAAAGATTACATGGTGTCTTTAGACTCAGCCCAGGACAAGGCATGTTGTGTCCAGGCTGGCAGAACAGATGACAGAGGCACTGTGACACAGATGAATTTTGTAGCAATGCCCCCATCTGCTTTTTTCCCTGCTGTTCTTCATTATTCAGTGTTGGTTGGAACTAATCTTTTCAGAAGCGTTAAGTGGTTTCTTCACTTTTCCTTCCCCCTTTTCTTTTATGTGTGTGAGTACTTTGGGACCTCTGTTATAAATGGCTTTATTGACAGATAATTATTCAGCTTTATAGGCCATGTAGGAAACAGATGTGGAGGTAAGGATTTACTTGTGTAGCACAGTTTATTCCATATTTTTCTTTCAGTGGGACACAAGAAGGAGCAATGCAGAAAAACGGATCGTATTAGAATCTGAGAGTCCAAACAGTTTGTCCCTTGTCCTGCCAGCTGAGCCCAGAACAGTAAACTGAGGAGCTAGGATGCCCACCTTACTCAGTCCTGCATAAGTGAACTGGAGGAGTCTCCAGCGTGCTCCTGCTTGTTCCCAGTGAAGAGGTTACTGGGGACATGCTGGCTGTATCTCTTGTTCATGTTCTTGGGGGCAGGAAGGATCAAAGGATACACAACAGAAATCAGTACTGCCTGGATAAAATCATAGAATCATTTAGTTTGGAAAAGACTTTTAAGATCATCAAGTTCAACCATTAACCCAGCACTGCCAAATCCACCATAAAACCATGTCTCTAAGTTCCACATCTACATGTCTTTTCAATACCTCCAGGGATGGTTACTCAACCACTTTTCTTTGCAGTCTGTTCCAGTGCTTGACAACCTTTTGGTGAAGAAATTTTTCCCAATATCCAATCTAAGCCTCCCCTGATGCAATTGGGGCTGTTTCCACTTGTCCTCTCACTTGTTACATAGGAAAAGAGGCTGACTAGACCTCACTGCACAACCTTCTGTCAGGTAGTTGTAGAGAGCAATAGGTCACCCCTGAGCCTCCTCCAGGATAAACACCCCCAGCTCCGTCAGCTGCTCCTCCTAAGACGTGTGTTCCAGACTCTTCACCGGCTTTGTTACCCTTCTCTGAACACACTCCAGCACCTCAAGGTCTTTCTTGAAGTGAGGGGCCCAAAACTGAACACAAAATTTAAGGTGCGGCCGAACAATCACTTCCCTGGTCCAGCTGGTGACACTATTTCTGATACAGGCCAGGATGCCATCGGCCTTCTTGGCCATCTGAGCACACTGCTGGCTCATGTTCAGACAACTGCCGACCAAAACCCCCAGATCCTTTTTGCTTGTCAACTTTCCAGCCGTTCTGCCCCAAGCCTGTAGCATTGCATGGGGTTGTTGTGACCCAAGTGCAGTACTTGACACTTGGCTTTGTTGAACCTCATGTAATTGGCCTCGGCCTATTAATCCAGCCTGTCCAGATCCCTCTGCAGAGCCTGCAGCAGATCCTAGCTGATCCTAGCAGATCATACCCTCCAGCAGCTCAAGACTCCTAGCCAACCTGGTGTTGTCTGCTAAATGACTGAGAGTACACTCGATCCCCTCATTCACGTTATTGATAAAGATAGTAAACAGGACTGGCCCCAGTACTGAACTGTGAGGAACACCACTGGTGACTGGCTGCCAACTAGATGTCACACCATTCACCACCACCCTCTGGGCCTGGCCAGCCAGCTGGTTTTTTTACTCACCAATCCAAGCCATGAGCAGCCAATTCCTCCAGGAGAATGCTGTGGGAAGCAATGTCCAAGGCTTTACGAAAGTCCAAAGGGACGAGATCCACAGCATTTCCCTCATCCACCAAACGTGTGACCCATAGAAGGAGACCAGGTTAGATACATACTATTTCATGGTAATTTTTATGTTCTGAGTTGGCTGAGGACCGGATTCAGACCTGCAAAAACGTATCCCTGCCTGTTTACTTCCCCAGTCCTTCCTTCCCTGGTTGCTGGCACAGCACTGTAAGTGCTCCTTGATACTCTCCCAGGCCCACAATGGCAATCACTGGCATAGCTTCATCATGTGTACCCTGGACCATGGAGCTCTTTGTTGGGGTGATGCAGACAGAGTAGTGAAAAGCATCTCATTTTGCATATTTCTATGTGAGTATACTGCACAGTTCAGCCCCACTGAAAATATAAAGGTCATCCTTGTTTAGTTAAATGCATTTTATATTCTGATTGCCTGACCAGATTGAAATTTCTCCCTAGTTTTGTTTTTTTTTGAGTCAGACTCACACTGACTTTAAAACATTTCCTTATTGTTACCTTAATTTTATTTTTTACATCACTAGACTTTGCTTGACAATCTCTGCAATCTGCATTTATGCTGCTTGCAAAAGACATTGCTTAGGAATTGTGGAAGGGTTTTCTGTGAAGCTCTTTGATTATTGTATTTGTCTTGAACTCACTGGAGGCTTTCAATCCAATATTTAATTAAAAAATTAATTTTTTTCTTTCCAACTTTAAGTATTTTTGAGCACAGTCTGCATTCATATGTGTTGTAAAGGCAGCACTTCAAGAGGAAACAAATCTAATTATTTTCCAAAATCAGGAAGTGAGTTTGATAATATTTTTCACAATTTCTTCTGAGTTGAATGTTTCTTTCCTCTTTAACAACAAATCTTTCTAATGACACTTGCTTAACATGTAATAGTAACATTAACTTCTATATAGTAGATATTACCCAATAAGAGCAAAAATTATCTGTCTGAACAGAGAAACAACTGTTATTCTATTGAAAATCTCAAGAAAATTTTGACAAGTTTTTGGTATAAGCCAGTGTTGTCTCTCCTGAAAAAGCTCACATATTAGAAGTCCTGGCAAGTAAAAGCTGAAAATCCCTGAGTCCCAGAGGTGTGAAGTTATCTTTTGTAGCCAGATGTGCACTGAGTTTTCATGTTTAGTTTTGTGTATAGAAAAGCATATTTTGGTCCCATGTTGAATTTTACTCAGCCAAAACAGAGGCACTAAATTGCTGAAGCAATACTGAGGTGGAGAAAGGAAAACAAAAGTGTATTTGTGCCTTTAAAGATAAATTGAAACATAAAACTGGCAAGTGTTCGATTTTGGAAATAGCTTACAGTTTACAAGTTTGGGTGCAATCTGGTGGGAGCAATAAACTCATTGAGTCCAGAACTTCACACTTATCTCTGCTGTTCTGTCCTTTGCATGCTGGGAACACCTTTGTCACTAAATGACATTGTCATTGTTTCTTTATCAGTCTGAGAAGTGTATATAGGTGATTGCCCATGGATGCCCATTCGTGAGTTAAAAAGCTCTGTTTCTTATGGAAGCCAATGCAATGTTAATAACCTTCTCATGTTTCCAATAGACAATTCGTGTGTTTTAAAAAAGTTAATATTTTTAAAATAAGAGAAATTGAAAGATTAAGAAATTATCAAAGGAAAAAAGCAGGACTTAGAATATAGGCATGCAATTATTCTGTGGGATGTTGTGAGTGTGCTAGTACAACCAAACACTTGTAAAGTGTTTCAGATTATCAGGACCAGGTTCTTCGTTTCATGTCACAGTTAAAGAAAATGAAAAAGTAAAGTTTTTCTAGATTTTATACATACATATGTATTTAGTCAATACAATTGAAACATACAACAACAGAGATTCAGTACCCATGTAAAATAGAAATATTTTCAAATAGAGACATGTGAAGACAAAATTATATTAAAACTAAATAATTAAAGAATTAAGACACTGTACAAAGTATATTAAAATATACTTTGTCACAAGTACCTTCTGAAAGTAATGTGCTCACTGATACATGGGCTTTTATAATTAACAGAGTAATATGTGGAACTTGGCTAGAAGACAAGTCAGCAGGTGGCTGATCATTGGAACATGATTATTTTGCCCATATAATATGATGAAAGAACACGTATATAATGACTCTTGAAGGTGGATGTTGTGATGACTATCTGTTGTGCTGGTTTAATGATTAAAGTGCATTGTAGTCTAATTACCTTAGACTGTCCTGAAACTGTGATGCTAAGACACCAAAGGAACAGAAGAAGCACTCCTGTATAGCAGCATGTCTTACCCTTCTTGTGGCTCAGCCTCTTTCGTATTTCAGAACACTTTTCCAGTGCACACTTCTCACTGTTGAGGAAATCAGAGTTCATGGCCGAACACATGCTCCCCTGAAGCAGAACACTAATGACAAACAGCTGTAGTTGCCTAGGATTTGGGGGACACCCCTATCAGTTGGGAAGCCTTGCTGCCTCGGGGAAGGCTTAGCAAAGCTCTTTAATCCATGCCTATTTACTTTGTGAACAGAATTACTGTGTCTCTGACTATCCGCAGGGACTTTATCTTACTATTTGGTTTTTGTTTGTTTGTTTTTGGAAATCTGCTGCACTTTACTGGGTTAATGAGGTTCCACTGGCAGTGGAACTCTAGTGCAAGCAGCATTAAAATGAAGTACTTGTAGAAAGCCTCTCTGAAAATGTTCGAGGAGTCCAGCTGTTAGCATCATGATAGTTATTAATTGCACAATCCAATCACAGCAGCCCTTACAAACTGATGAAAAAATAATTAACAGAAACTATAAGGAGGCTCCTCATCACTATCTGCACTTAATCTTACTGTATTTTTCTGTCCAAGAATTAAAGGAGCTACTTAGAACTTCTGGTAGTTTTTCATTACATGCTGCGTGTATGGTATATTTACAGCACGAATATTTAAATTGCCAGTTCTGTAAAGGTAGGAGTCTTTTCATGTTAAGTTTTACTCTGCATTTATGTGTATTATTGCTTATTCAAGAGATAGCTGTACAATATAGAAGAAATCTTAAATGGATCTGATGACACAAAGCAATTGGAGATGTGAATCTTTGTAGACTAGTGTTTACGTCATTGTTCTCGGGGCCAGTGTGATGTCCCGTACTCTTCTTGTCAGACAACTGCAGCACTGGCATTCGAGATGACATTTTATACTTTTAGTTCTTTGATAGAATGTCTTATTTGCTACCGTAAAAATTATTGGATCAAGACAGCTGTTGATGCTGCAGATGATCTCTGTGACTTTGTAAATGGCATTTAATGTGCTTATGTTCTCACAGAGTGGTTTACAATTAATTCTGTAAATTAGTATCACCATCATCATAACATGGTAAGGTATGAAAGAAACAGCAAATACAATCATAGCAGCTGAAATCAGTAACAGAGGCCTAACAAGTCTGTTCCTTCTTTGCTGACGTTTACTGAGTCGTAGTAGTGCTTTGAGAGTCAACATATAGCATGTAAAGATGATTGTGGCTGGAATTAGGAATCTCAATACAATCTTGGAGAGCATGAATGGCACTACAAATTGTAAAGATCCTTCAGTGGCATCCAGGTCATTTATGATGTCAGGCTGTGTTCTAGCTGCAACTGTGTAGTAGATGTCAGGCATCGATGCAATCACTATGAAGATCCATACCCCGATAGTGCAAAACACAGCCTTTCCTTTGTCCCACCATGTTAATGAAGTGATAGGATGGACAGCACCTATGTATCTGTCAAAACTGATGAGTGCCAGGAAATAGACACTTCCATAGACATTAATACTAAAAAATAGTGTTATGATCTGATAAAATGCTTGACTGAAATATACAGAGAACTTCTGGATATTATAATATACTGAAAAAGGTGCCATGAGAGTCCAAGTAAAGTCACAAAGTGCCAAATTAAAGAGAAATATGGTATTGGTCGTCCATGTCTTCATGCAGTAAACATGTCGTAGTGCAAGTATATTGCCTAGAAATCCTGTTAATAAAGAGAAAAGGCAAAGCAGAACCAGCAAATAACAGTACCACTCCAGCTTAGGATTTCTGTTGCAAATTAAAATAGTGCATGTACCATTCATCATCTGTCCATGGAGTATACCTGAAGGAAAAAGAGAGACCAACAGCCTTTAAAATAAAAATCGAGTTGGATGTATTAAATTTAAAATTCAAAAATTTTAAGTTAAATTCAGTATGTTTGAACTGGCAAAAGAATTCAGAACGTAGTATGATGTACAACCTCTCCTCTATCTGAAAAAAATATAAACTCCAAATACACTTAAAGCTTACTCTACAACACCCACACAAGCAGATCTTCATAAACTTATGCAAGGCTTTATATACTTTCGTCTCTGCTATTTAACATTGTGTACAATGGATGAGAGAAAAAAAGCGTGCGTTCTCAAGTAACAGCAGCCTTGCTCTCAAGTAAGGCCGACCATTTAGCTGGTCTCCAATGTAAGTCTCTTTGGAAAAAGCAGAGGAGATGACAGAAGGACCGTAATTGCCCACACTCATTCCATCGTTGCTTTGATTGCCTTGAGTATCCATACTGGGCCTAGAGGCATGTTTAATGTGGGCAGCTGTGCAGTGGGCTGTGACTGAGGTCAAGAAAACAGTATCAAAACAAATCAGGAGGAAATTCTGCTTGTGGTAAAGGCCACAGCAACCTTGCCATCTAAAGCACCAGACAAAGTACCTTTTCTTTTTTTCCTTTTTCTCTGATTTTCTTCTTTAAATAATTTTCCTGTGCTGAAAACATTGTGCTTTTGGTGAGGTTAGAGAATTAATTTTGTCTAACTCTTTATGGCCCATTTGGTGTCAATTCATGTTATGGAATGTGTGGAATATAGATCTGTAGTGTATTTTTCAAAGCGAGTTTTTTAAGCTTATAATGTCTTATGCTTAATTTCATTGATTACTTCCAATAAAAGCAAAATAAAGGCTGGAATATTCTGTCAGAATGAGCTGTCACCAGTTGCCCTTCATTATGTTTCTATAAACTTTCTGCAGATGATGCAGCAGGTGCCAAACTGTAAGGTCTGTCCAAGTAGAAGCTTTGTATGAGGGTCATCCAAATAACTTTATAACTTTATAGGACAACAGGATAAAATTTTCCTCAGTACAGATCACACTTTGAATGGAAGACAGGACTTTTTCGGAATGTTATTGACTCCTTGAAAATTTCAAAACATCTTCAAGCATTAAGTTGGAAATAGTGTTTTCTTCTAATGTAGTGTTTTGCTTTCATGTCAACCTTAGTACAGTAAGTCTTTTCCAAAGGTATGTTCACAGACATGGGTCAAAATATAGCAAACATGAGCTGCAGTGAACACCTGCTAAATAAAGGCTGTGTTATTGTGCTTTGCAAGTTTATAGTCGACTCAGTAACCTGACAAAAAGCTGGTTCAAACTGTACTCAACGAAGCTAGTAAAGAAAGTTGCTTCTCTAGAAGCTCAGCAACAAAGGCAGTCAAATGACTTTCCAGGTAATGAATATGGATAGAAAGCCATCTGTTCTACTCACAGTGTGGGGAGTGTTTGCTCTATAAATGTATTTTCTTCAGTATTGAAGTACTGGACTTTAACCTAGGGTAGCTATACTTTCCCTTTTCCATAGCCTTTGTGAATGTAAAAATTACATAAACTGTGTAACATTTTTTCTTCAGCTGAATTTTGTAAGATATCCCTGTAAATTCTTTAAAATAGCCATCCTAATAGGTGAAACACAATTAAGTAACATTTTCTTATGATGTGATAAATTAAAATGGGTTTGAATATGTATAGGAGAGTTATATTTTCCTAAAATCCCCTTGGCTATAGGTCATGTGTTCTTTGAATCAAATGGTATTTCCTACCTCTCTGCCTTCCTTTTCAATACTTGAGAATGAAGGCACTGAACACTTGATTCCAAGTTGTGTTGGCTGTAAATAAGTCCTAAACTGGCTACAAACAGCACGGCCGTAGCTGCATGAGGGAATTGTAATGCCAGGTTCCTGAGCTTATCAAGCTCCTGGACAAAGACTATAGGTAGATCTAAATGGAGGGAGGCAAACAGCTGTTCCACCTGCTCTGCTTTGCTGTAGGTTGGCTGGATAAAGTCTGGGTGTGTAGCCTTATGACTATGTTAGGGCAGTTAAAGAACTGAACTAATAAATGTCCTATCCCCTTCATCACCTTCAGTTTGCTGGGCTGCACTCAGCGTTGAGCTATATGAAGTAAGTTATGTAGTTGGAGAGGGTGGAGCTGCCCAGCTTTGTAAGGTGCATTTGAAGCTCAAAGAGTCATTAGAAAGTATGTCCGTGTTTGTGTAGGTGTTTCCCAAGCATCTACGGTGGTATATATATTTGAATTCTCTAAAATACTTTTACTGTCTCCTATTAATTCTTTGTATTATGGTATAGTTTAAAGACCATAAACAAGACTTCAAACAGTGTGCTTTGCAATTGATCAGGGAGTGACTTACAGGGTGGACACAGGGAAACAGGTGCAGAGATAAAAAGAATCTTTCCTGGGGTAACTTAATATCAAGAGAAGAACACAGGGGATTTGACTCCCAGCTTGCTGCTATAAGGTCTGGTTTTCTGTCAGAAAAATTTAAAGCCTTATACAATCAAGGACACAGTTTGACTGCATGTGGGAAGACAGTCGGCATGTCCTGTTCTATCCTGAGGCCATTGGAGCTACCCCGATGTCCAGTAGATCTGCATATGTGCTGTAATAATTTTCAGAAGTGACGTTTTTTTAATATCAGAAAATAGCAAGTTTTCTGTCTACTGTCTTGGCACCAACGGAATAACTTGAGCTACAGGATGTGACTAGATTGTCGTCACAGTTCAAATCCAAAATTTTGCATCTGTAGTTTAGGAAAACTTTTTTTTTCTGAACATTACAGTGTTCACTGCTAGATTCATGCATTCTTAAACAAAGTCAGCCACATACATACACACAGAGTGGCAGAATGAGCAAGAGCAAAATGACATTATATTGTGCTTCTGTTGTTAGTGCTGACTAAGAGCAGACTTGCCAAACTTTGATGAAAGTAGGATTGGTTTTCAAGGTTAAAAAATACTTCCCATTTATTGAGATTAATTTTTCAGCTGAACAGTTTCAGCCATTGATGACCATGAACATTAAAAGGACAGAAAGAGCAATCACATGATGACGCATCCAAAATTAAAGGAATACATCTGATTTGATGAAGAGCTTGGTATTAGAATAGTACACATATGCCCAGGAAAGGGTTGGAGTTTGTGGTTTCCATCACTCCTAATTAAGATAAGAAAACGTGCTAAATTTATGAGTAAGAATTCAATGTTTCTCTTGTTTCTGCTTCTACAGTCTAATAAATCCAACTATCCTATAGGCTGTGGACCTAAAAATGCTAGAAAAGCTTTAGTTTTTAAAAAAGTGTCCTATTAGACTCAGTGTTTTGTATCTGCCTATTGAGTTGTCTCTTTTCCTGGACTGAAAAGAAATAGCTTAGATCTGTGACTCTCTGACAATATCTACAAGCTCTCTCTCGTCATCCCTGGCAGCATTTATATGCTGCCGGAGAAAGTCAAGCAGGTTTCAGCTGGTGAGCTGATTTACTGCCTGGTTTGTTGCTGGACCGTAAATCCTGAAGTCTCTACTACCCTGTGTTCCCTTTGTACCTGTGATGTGGTCTCCAAAGCCTTGGAAAAGATAGAAAACCTGTTTTCAGTAAAAAATTATGTTTTGAGGAAACTTCTTTGAAGAAACATTTTGTCACTGAAAGGAATCTTGATTTTTGTATATAACTAATTATAGTTCAAAGTTTTATCATTGGTGGTCATTAATATGGCATTTAACTTGTGTTTGAAAAGTTCTATTAGGCTTAGCACATTTATTTGGTTATTTTTAAGTGTATAATTTAGTATGTGTAAATATAGCCTAGGAACTATGTTCTTCCCTGTCATACCTGTTGGGGTATTTTTAATAAGGTCATAAAAACCAATTAATTTGTCCTGAAGTAACAAAAAAAATATTAAAATGAGTCAACAGCTTATTTTGTGTAATATTATTCCTTATCTACTTTCTTTGTTCTTTGCTACTTTTTGGTTGCTATTCTTTATAGTAAAAGCCATAGTTTCACATGAACTGTTTTGTTGGAATTACTCTATTTTGTATGGCTGTTTGCAACAGCCAGATTTGTATTTTAATCTAGTACAAATCTATTCTAGTTACTAGACAGATTTTCCAAATGTCTGGCCATTCACACACAAAAATATTTCTCTTATGTGTGCTTTCAAAGTGTAACCTTTTAGCTCATTTTATCAAATTAATAAAGCATTATACAGAGAGTCCTAGATTTTGTTGTAAAAATAACAAGCATTATTGGAAATTATTACTTTAACAACTTACCTGTCAGGTAATCATCTGATGCATTTCATTTTAATTTCAACTGAATTGATATGAAAGGATATATAATGCAATGCAAGTATTAAGTGGAGCATTTAATGTGTTCTAGTTCAACTGCATTTAGCATGTTATACATACCGGTATGGTGGGAACAATAAGTAATATCAGTAGTAATTGTATGCAGTTAGGTAAGAAGATTGTGCTAATATCCAATTGCTTTCTTCTTAATGAGTTGATTGGTCTTATTATTAAGGTAGTATTTCTTTCATTAAAAAATTCTGTTCATGTTCAACTTACTTGAGAGTTAATGAAGTCCTATATGACAAACATAAGCTACAGTAGAAGGAAAATTAAGATGTAAGAATTTCCCTACTGAAGATGGTATTTATGAAAAAGTTCTTTTAAGAATATAAAATTTATATATATGTTTATATATTAATCAGTGCATAATAACTGAATAGGGAACAAATTATTGCTTTGGAGATTACAGGTACAATGGATATTTATTAAATCTTTCTCTTACCTGTTTTAGAAAGGTTGGAATTATCTGTTTTACAGAAGTCTGGGTTCCAGGCTGTGCTTTTTCTCTCCATTAATCTGGACCTCCTGAAATCACAACTCTATTTTGTGAGTCCTGTTTATAATCCAAGGTGTCAGTAATAATCCATATGCAATGGCAGCTGTTCAGAGAGCAGGTGTCAAACTGCAAGGGAAATATCTTTTGTTATTAAGCCCCTCCTCTCAGTAGGTCAGGATAATATACTATTGCCATAGCAGCTTCTGCTCGATTTTTAAGAAAGGACAGACTTGTTACACATCCTCAGTCTAGCTAGACCTGGGCTGTCATTGTTTCCAGCAGTGAAAGAGAAGAAGAGTACAGGGGCTTGAGCCCCCTGTGTATATATATGTGTGTTTGCACTTTCCCTTTCTTCCCCTTTCTTCACTACCAGAATCCTCGTTATTGCTGCCCTACTACTGGACTGGTCTGTGGACCTGCTCTTGCTCCATCATAGAGCTTGATTCATCCCCCTGTACCTATCTATCACTTCCTGCCTCACAGTTCCCATATCATTCCAAATCTCAGCCTTGTCAGAGAACTCCCATCCTTCAAGATTTTGCTTACTCCAGAGCTCAAATCCTACCTACCACTTCAGCCCATAGCCCATGTCTGGTCCAGGTCCTCCAGTCTTCCTGCCCAAGACCTGCATCTCCAGTCTTCAGCAGCAAATACAGTCCTGGGATTTTCCTGTCTGACTGCCTGAATGAACACTTCAAGTTTTTTGACTAATTTCTCCCATATTATAGCATCCCCATGTGTCCAGCCCTAATCAAGGCTGAAACTGGACTTGGCAGTTCAGCAAACAGCTCACAGAAATTGCCTTCATCCCAAACCATTCACATCTCAGTCTGCTATCTCGCTTTTCTGACCAGCTCCTCATCTTCCTTCTGTTCTCCCTATTTTGACATCTTCTAGTACCTGACTGCACTATCTCCTCAACAGATGCTGTCCTTCACTTTACTGCTTAAATTATCAAAATTATCAGTTGCCTTCCTTAACCCCACTTGGCTTCTGCTGTGGCACTCTCAGCCCTGCAAAAGCAAATTCCCATCTCTTGTGCTGGTGAGGTTTTCAATACTCTAAAAAATCAAAAAACATGTTACTTGGTTTTAGAAAAGAAAAATTCCACCTGGAAAAAGGGTAATCCATTTGTGGTAATCCATGATAAAACAACAATACTCTGTTAGTAGTAGGAACATGCAAGTATGAGAGATGGTGGACTGTACAAACTACCTCCTAAAATCAGTAGAGGCACAAGGAGAGCTGCTAGAGGACAGAGTTGTGAACAAAAAAGGAGATCAAGAAGAGTATAAACAACTGGATTGACATGCATGACACTCATCCAGATGAGGAAGAACTAGTATAGCTGGGCTTTAAGAAAGTGGTCATTAGAAATTCTGGTTAGAACAGCTCAAGGAGCTGTACCACATTTGTAGAGGTCCAGAAGTAAAAAACTCCAGACAGTGAATAAACTGTGCACCTGAAGAGTTTAGAGAAGAAAGGCAAAAGGGTGATAGGGTATTCTTGCAGAAGCTAGTAGAGAGGCTATTACAATGCTAAACCCCATTAGATATGTTTGTTTTAGGAAAGGAGAGGTCTGGGAAAGATGGAAAGATTCAGAATAGAAAAAGAGGGATGAGAGTAGACATAAAGAAAATGTGAAAATTGGATAGAATGAAATTGTATGGGCAGGTGAAAAGGGTAAAGGGCTACAGGAAACAGAGATGTGAAACTCCTTAGTTTATGATAATGGAGAAGGACAAAGAGGAAAAGGTAAGAGAAGACAGAGAAGGAAAGCTAGCCTAGGAAAAATGTGTTCCCGGCAAAAACATCATAAAAGTTTCACCTATCACCAAGGGTGAGAATAATCAGAGCTTCTTTTCAAGCAACAAGACATACCACTATTCTTTGACAAAGGTATTCTCTGCGGAATAAAGTATAGCACATCATATGATTAAAGTTCTAAGAAAAACACGCAAGATTCTACATACTCATAATTTGATTTCCAAATGAAATTAGGGAAGCAAATAATGTATGTCAGTGGACTTACTTCAAATACTTCGCCCAAGAAAAGCTATCTTAGACATGAAAAAAAAAATTATGTATGAATCAGTAACCTTTTTTTCACATTTGAAATGAATTGTAGTGGCCTGCAGGTTTTTTTTTTTCTGGACTGCAAGTAAATTGTAATTTTGTAGGAATAATATCTGTTCATGCTGAACTACAGAAGAGTGGTTTGACTGCATGATGCTAAATCTGCCCTCCCCACATACAGTGGAATAATTTGGTATAGGAAGAAATACAGTTTAGTACTTTATTTTGGTTTTTGATATTTACTGACTGATTAAAATATGCTTTCTTACAATTTTTGTACCACAGGTCAGTTGCTCCGTCTGAAAATGTTTCGAGAGGATCATGGGTCTTGGATGACGATGTTCTTCAGTACTATTCTCTTCCTCTTCATTTTTTCTCACATTTATAATCTGTTCCTCATTATGGCAGGGAATATGAGGTATGTTCCGAGTTTATTTTTGTCTCTTTTGCTCTAAAATATATTCTGCTGGAAACTTCTTTTATTCCTCTGCTTTCTGAATTTAGGTAGAGTAGTAATTTAATGGGTTAATTAGCCAAGAAGATGAAAGTATCAGTTACAAAAAATGGGGTCCTAGACTAATGATAGCAACTCTTACATCAGGGTACTAACGAATGTTATATCTTCTTTTTTTTTTTTAATTTAAAATTATAGCTAAACAAATTTGATTTGAAGTTAGGGCTGAGTAGTTTACAAATATAAGCATTACTATTGTACCTGAGCAGAAAGTTCAGAGTTAAAGTTAAAAGAAATTGAAACATCTAAAATTGAGGAAGCTCACAAACATTAAATGGGTAGTATAGTGCTGGTTTGGTTATGTACAGTAATATTTGCTGATCCAGTTTGTTCAGAATATTCTTAAATTCTTTTTCTTTCCCATAAATTGCTCTAACAGAGCAAAATTATGGATTGCTGAGGGATAAACAGCTATCTATTATATCTAGATTTATTTTAAATTGAGCTTTTTATATTAATTTTCTGTCTTATGACTTGCTTTCTCCTGTTATCTCAAAATTAACACCACTTTCATGTGTTGATTTTCCTGAGAAAACCTACCTACATTATTAATCATCTAATATATACAAAATTAGTTCATTGGACAAAAATATACAGTAATATTGTTTATGAAAGGCGAGATAGCATCTGAAGACTTTCTAGCAAGGAATAAGAAACTCAAAGTATATATGAGCTGAAGAACAGTGCAAATAATTAAATTATGTGTTCTTAGCAGAATATCAGAGCCATACCAATAGTCTGATGACGAGTTTTTTAATGGGCCCTGGTGTGGTGTGTTACAGATCTTAAGCATGTCAGCAAAAATGTGCAGTGTATAAAGTCCTGTAAACAATGTGACATAAAGCAAAAGAAGGCAGACTGAGTGTCACTGAATGAACATAAGCACAGATCAGCTGGGATAATCGTGAGATTGTGACATGGAGACTAAATGTATTGATTTGAGCAAAGCAGGTAAAGCAGCAGACTCATTGGCCATTTTATGAAATGATCACAGTAATGATGTGGTAAATATGAATAGGTGCCCAGTAACAGGTGAGATAATTATCCCTGAGATGAGGACGGTGGGAGCATTGCAGGTTTCTGGCTTCTCTATTTACATACTTATACTGTTATTGGTATTATATTAAGATTTATGTTTGGTATTTCTAATGCTCTATAAACTATAACCAGCTGTTAGACAAAGCATTAATGATTTTGAAAGCCTGACTCATGTCTAGAAAACACATTTCATTTGTTCTTGTCAACATTCCTGTCCCTGTACCTGTTACAAGTTTCCATTAGTTGCGCTGAAGAGATTGCGTGGCCGTCACATCCATGGAAATAGGCACAGCCTAGTACTAAAGTAGCTGGTGTCAGTCAGTGTGCCCTCTTCCTTTCTGTGGGGTGAAGCCTCTCCTTTCCTGGAGCTTATGCCACAGGAAATAGATTTGTCGTGATTGTTTTGGGAAGCTGAGCATGTTGTGCTCAAGGAATTTCATGGCTTTTTTTCAAAGTGGACTGAGGGCTTGTTACAGATATGTTGTCTGTCCATTCCAGTAAAAGGATATGGAAAATAGTTTCAGTCTCAAACAGCAGAACTCAAATCATCAATCAAACAGAGGTCTTGCATCAGTCCTTTTAAAGCTGGGGTAAAACAATGTGTAATAGTTTTGAAAAGAGGGTTTCTACAACAAAAGTCATCAAAGCCAAGTGCTTTATGTTGCCATGTTTCAAGGAGTAGATTTTTTTTTCCTGAGTACATGTAATCTTTATGAAAGCTATGTGCTTCATGATTTGTACTTCTGTGCAGAAGAACACCTCTGTCTACAACTTTTGCCACAGTGGCTTACTGAAACGAGTGATACCAGAGACACTGGTTTCCAGGATGAAGGTCAGAGTCTGCTTGTGTGAAGGTTACAGTCTTTGTGGAGAGAAACTGACCTTTGTGCCTGTGGACTCCTGTGAAACACAAGCATCCATATTACACATCTTTCCAATACAAGGGCTACGAAAGCCTTACTCTCTACAAGACTAGGTGAAAAACGTTCTTTTTTTTTCTTTTCATGTGTTTGGTCCTTGCCCTGGGTGCTGGTAGGAGAGGGATTCTGACAAGTTTCTTTATGTCAGATGTTTGGTCTCATCAATGAAAATCCCTTTCTGGCACAGAAGCAGAANATTCACCTTTCCCTGGGTGCTGGTAGGAGAGGGATTCTGACAAGTTTCTTTATGTCAGATGTTTGGTCTCATCAATGAAAATCCCTTTCTGGCACAGAAGCAGAAAAGTCATACATCTTGCATCACGCCAGCATGGATGATCACAGCAGAAGCAATATCCTTTTGAAGGGTTGAGAAACCTGTGATTTAACACTCTGTCATATAACCATATCTAAAAAAGATAGATTTTACAGTTGCCAAAATTTGGGGTTATTTTTTTT